CGCTCTTCCGATCTCCCCAAAACCCCAAAACCCCGTAGTTCCAAAATAGTCTAAACTTGAAAATAAATAAATTGACATAATAAATTTTCATAATAAGATGCTTGCTAACTTCAAAAGTAATTAACTCTGAATAAGTTCAACTAAAAATTAATCACTTCTGTTAATCCAGTAATCATTTAAAAATTAAAATTCATAAAACTGAAGAACATTCATAAATACTAGTAAAATCATTACGTAAATTTGGGGAAGGCAATTTACTGCTCAGTTGGATTCCTAATACTTTATACAGCTTTGAATCCCACATATATTGCATATACACAAATCTTGTCAAGTAGCAACTATGATAATCTAGGCTCTTTTTGCTTGGCTTTGGATTATCTATGCTATGGCTTTGGATGTTTAGCAGCATCATATGTAGTAGATTTTTTTGGTATAAAATTTTGTCTATCAATTGCAGCTATTGCTGACACTCTATGGATACTATCTCTAATACCACCAGCATATTCATCTTAAAATAATGCAAGTAATGATATGATTGTCACAAGTGCTGGCTTTATATATACAACATAGATATCAATTCAAATAATTCAAGGGATCTGCTTAGGTCTTAAATGGGTAGCTGGAAATAAATACATTTCATAATGTGCTACAGAAGAAACTAAAGGTTTTTACTTTGGTTTATTCTGGGGAATTTTCATGATATCAATGGTATTTGGTAGTTTAATGGCAGCATTCATTTCAATCCATTTCAAGTAGACTACATTTGTATTAATAATGGCTGGTATAGCTACCTTATCAATAATAGTTTTTTCTACTCTACTTGATCCTATTCCTTAAGAAAGATATTTACCACTAGATAATTTGAAAGAAGAGGATGAAATATAAATATAGAATAGTAGCGAAAGGATTAAAATCTTTATAAAGTGTGAAAATTACGAATCTATTCCTCAAAATCCTGACTCATCAAACGAATACAATTTCATCAGCTGTTAAGTTTATGACTAAAGTAAAAAATAGAGATAAACTCAAATATCCTTGAGAAAAGAGGTAGCATAAGTTTTGCGACTCATTAGTTCTAAAAAGATGCTGCCTTTGATTCCATAGCTAATATGGCTAGGAATAAGTATTGCTGTTTATTCAGGATTATTTTTAATTATCATTATTGATACATAATCTATTGGAGATGACTAATATAAATTTTCCTAGTCAATGCTTACAATGGTATCATTTGGAATTGGTGAAATAGTCGGTAGTCTAGTTTCTGGTTTTATGATAGATAAATACGGAAATAAAAAGACTGTTTTGTTAAATATTCTTTTGATCTCAATTCAAACTATTATAATGATAATCTGTATGATAGACTATAGATTTTCTTATTTTTCCTACTTCTTGACTTTCACTTGGGGATTATAAGATAGCTCAACAAATACCTTATCAGTTGAAATTCTTGCCTTTGAATTCTGTAATAATTCATAATCAATTGGGATATCCAATATCGGCTTAGCTATAGGCTCTTTAATCTTCAATTTTATCTAAGGATTTATCAAAGGAAAAGAATAGTATTTGATTTATACAACTGTTATTGGGTTTCTTGGAATACTGTGCAATGTTTCGACATTATTTTTCAAATTTAAACCTATGCCTATACACCTTCAAAAATCTATGAAATCAATGAAATCTAATGGTGATTTTTAATGATTGTTAATTATTTATTAGATTTGAGATGATTATTTACTTTTTCTTTGTTTTATTTAAAATATGTATTTTAGGGGTTTTGGGGTTTTGGGGTTTTGGGGTTTTGGGGTTTTGGGG